TATAAGGATTGGGTCGCCAGTTTGGTGGCGGGGGTATGAAGAGAGATGTGGCAGTTTCGTATCGAAGTGCCTACTTGCAGCAAAGTGAAGCCGAGCATCAGAGGCCAGCGGTTTGTTAAAACCCTTCGCCTATTGCCGAGTGGAAGTGGGAGCATGTCACTATGGACTTCGTTGTAGGTCTTCCGAGGACTCAACGGGATAGTGATGCTATTTGGGTGGTTGTAGACCGGTTGACTAAGTCGGCGCACTTTATTCCTATGCCGCGTGAGAGATTCGGTGGATTCATCTGCCGTTGTGTATATTCGGGAGTAGGAGATTGCAGGGGTCCCAGTGACGATCATCTCAGATAGAGAGATCCTCGTTTTACTCGTAGGCTTGTGGCAGAGTTTGCAGAGTGCCTTGGCACTAGGTTGACCTTAGTACGGCTTATCATCCTCAGACTGACGGGCAGTCCGAGCGTACTATTCAGATCCTCGAGGATATGCCTCGGGTGTTGTGTCCTGGATTTCAGTGGGACGTGGAGAGGCACTTGCCCTTGGTAGAGTTTGCCCTACAAAACAGTTATCAAGTCTAGCATCGGTATAGGCACCGTTTGAGGCCTTGTATGGCCGACCGTGTAGGTCTCCAGTTTGTTGGGCCGAGGTGGGTGATGCACCTTTGTTGGGTCCGGAGTGGTAGAGAGACGACGGAGAAAGTTGGCTTATCCGTAGGAGGCTTGTTACAGCCCAGAGTCGTCAGAATCTTATTTGCCCAGACCGTAAGGAGGAGGCCTTTTAACGTTGAGTAGGTGATCACGTCTTTCTGAAGATATCACCAGGCGAGGCCTGATGAGGTTGGAAGAGTGAGAGTTATACTCCCTCGGTTTATTGGTCTGTAGACACCCCATTTTGACCGGCCCTAAACTGGCGCTTTCTTTTGATTACTCAATGATGAAAACAGGAATATGCTATCTCTCACAAATTCTCAGTAAAAAAGATGGAATATAAACTTTTAATCCTAGTCTTACACCTGTTTTTGCAAATATTTTAGACTCCTTCCATTTTCTTTCCTTTTTATTGTATGTATATATTATTATATACTATATATAATATATATATGTTTAAACCAACCTCTATCACTCAGGCATCATTGCTAAGTTCTAGCTTTGAGGTCGAGGAAGGTGATAGGGTTGAACATATCAAAATCTCAAAATGCTTTTGTAGGAAGGCCAATTTTGGATGCAATCTTGGTAGCTAATGAGTCTATGGATATCTAACTATAGAATGTTTAAGGGACTATTTCGCAGTTGGATAGTGAAAAGGTCAACTTGCTCCATGCTAAGAAGCACGGGCACCTTTAAGGAGGTAACGTGTAATGTTCACACGACACAACATTTTTTGGACACTTCCCAACACTTGGATACACATAAAACATATTACAAGTTTGAATAAAATAACTTAGAATTCAATGATAAAACAAAAACAATATAAATTTATACATATTCTTCGCCGTCGGACTTCAAAAATTATTATCCTTAACTTAAATATTCATATATATGACATTGCATGTGTCTCCCATGTGTCATGTCTTTAAAGTTGTTGGTGTGTCCGTGTCGTGTCACGTGTCTGTGGTTGTGCATTTTAGGCTCCATATGAAATTCCAAATTTGCCATTTTTCTTTATTCCATGCTGGTAAAATTTGAAGCGTTTCACATTTTAAAATATTTAGGTGGCGACTCTGTATCTGGCAAAGCAGTCCATGTTTGGCACTTCTTTTCAAAAAAAATCTGTTTCTCAAAACGATTTGCCAGATTTGGACTCTTTGGTTCAGACTTAAAACCGTAACACAAAATCGAGTCCGAACTGTAGCGAGGGCCCCACGTGGGCACGTCTACATTACCACAAGTACTTTCCTCAATACTTCCAAGATGGAAAATTTTTTGAATTCCAAGAACTCAAGCAAGGCAACATGTCTGTAGTCGAATATGAGGAAAAATTCATGAAATTAGCTTGATTTGCTCCTTATATGGTGGATACGGACTATAAGAAGGCTTGAAAATTTGAGGGGGGATTAGATTTGGATGTGTTTGATCAAGTAGGCGTCCTGAAGTTGCCTACATATGTAGAAGTACTTGATAGAGCATTGATGGCAGAAGCCACTCTAGCAGCAAAGAAACAAGTCAAGGCTCCAACAACTGAATGAAGGGGTAAAAAATCTGGATTCAATTTCAAGAAGGGTTGGTCATTTTCAAAGAAACGAAACACGGGAACTTCCAGTAGCTCTAGTTAGAGTAGTGGATCTATTCCAAATTGTCCTGATTTCAATGTGGCAAACTTGGCCATGTAATAAAGGATTGTCCACTTTGGTTCAAAAGTGCCAATCGCCCCGCGGCAAGTTTGGCCGGATGTGCCTCGGTAACGAGGTCAAATACAAGAACTAATGCCAGAAGTAATATTAGAAATGAAACATTGAGGCAAGAGAGAGTATTTACACTGATGCTAGGGGATGTATAGAACACCGATGCTATGGTGTGAGGTATAATTTCTATCTATGCCCAAAATGCATGTCGTGATAGATTCTGGTTCTACACATTCGTTTGTGTCACTTGCCTTTTCTCAGAAATTAACTAGACCTTTAGAATCGATGAATTATTTATTGTCAGTATATATGCTATCAGGGGGTTCTGTGGTATGTGCTTATATTTATCTAGCATGTGATATTGTGATTGGTGATGTGACACTGTATGTTGATTTATTGCTTCTGGGAATTGATCATTTTGACTGCATATTGGGTATGGACTGGTTAAGGAAGTATTATGCAATTGTTGATTGTGTAAATAAAACTGTTGTGTTTCGTCCACCCGGTTTACTAGTGTTTGTGTTTGCTAGGAATGGAGTGGTTCCTCCCCCATATTTGATTTCTGCCATGAAAGTAGTTAAACTACTTAGGAAAAGGATTTAGGGGTTATATGTGTTGCGTATTGATTGAGACTTCTGCTGATCTTACTGTAGAAACCATTCCTGTTGCTTGTAAATTTCTTGATGTGTTTCCGAATGAATTGCCTAGGGACTTAATTGATAGAGAAATTGAATTCACCATTGATGTAATACCCGGAACACAATCGATTTCTAAAACCCCATACCGAATGTCAACTTTTAAATTGAAAGAGTTGAAAACTCAACTTCAGGAATTGTTAGACAAGAAGTTTATCTGCCTGAGCATGTCACCTTGGGGTGCTCCAGTTTTGTTTGTCAAAAAGAAGAACGGATCTTTAAGGCTATGTATAGACTATCGGGAATTGAACAAAGTGACTATTAAGAACAAATACCCATTACCTCGAATAGATGACCTATTTGACCAACTTTAGGGGGTATAAGTGTTCTCGAAGATAGACCTTAGGCCCGGGTATCACCAGTTAAAAGTTAGGGCAGAAGACATAGAGAAAATTGCATTCAAAACTAGATACGGGCAATACGAGTTTTTGGTAATGCCATTTAGGGTAACTAATGCACCTGTAATGTTTATGGACCTAATGAACAGGGTTTTCAAACAATTTCTTGATGAATTTATCGTTGTATTTATTGATGATTGATGTAGGCCGAAAGGTACCACATTGAGGCCACTTACGTTACAGTTTTAGTCTTTCAATTTTGTTTATTTGGTAGAGATGATGTGTTTGGTGCACTTGTATAGATTTAGCAGAAAGAAGATTCTCCGTGCGAGAAGTGAAAAAACCGAGCCAGCCACCTCACCGCACGTGTGGCCAAGCTTCACTGCACATACGGCCCACCTAGGGTTGTGTGCATGAAAATTTGGGCTTTTCTACTGGGAATAAAAAGAAGAAAAAAGTAGAGATGGCAGTGGGGATCCTACCCTATGGATGTCCATGGATACCCAATCCAAAAATATGGATTCCCAATCCAAATATATGGATTTTTCCCATTTTTTTTACCCATCGGATTAATTAAGTGGGGTTTTTTATATACCCATAGGATATGGGTTGAGAATGGGTACGCGCCCATTTCCCATTTCCCCACCCATATGTTGTGTTTAGGGTTCTCAATCTCACGGTCTTCTCATTCTCACTCTCACTCTCATATAGCAGCGAAGGCAACGATCTCCATCGAATTTGTGAAGGCAACGATCTAGCGGCGGCGATCTCCGTCGGCGTTACCATGGTGGTTCTCCGGCGTGGTGAGTTTCTCTATCTCATTCTCTTGTTCTGTGCGTGTTGACAAATTCATCTATTCGATCCTCTTCCTTCTCTTCCACTCTTGTTCTGTGTATTTTTCCATCGTAATTTGCATTATTTTCTTTTTCTTTTCCTTTTCCGTCATTTTCTCAGCTTTCAAACAGCACTATTTTGGTTTCCCCCATTTCTTAGGGAGGTTGGTTAAGAGAGCATATGATGCATTATTGTTGGATGCTGGTGGCACTCTTTTGCAATTGGTGAAACTTGTTGAAGAGACTTACTCATCAATCGGCAGAAAATACGGTTAGCTTCACAGAGTTGTTGCTTTGATTCATGAAAATTTTAACTCAATGTTGTTTAAAGCTATGGATTTAAATCAGTTGTGAATTATGTTGCATTTGGAAATTGTTAGCTTTGACTTCCCGTACTCCATCAATTGAACAAAACCCTTTTTAATTCAAATGAATTGTAGAAGTTATTGTTAATGTAAATTAGGGACTCGCTGAAATTGATTAGTTGGAAGTGAAATAGTTAAGCATACACTTTTCTTTTTCTTTTTTTTGAAAAAATCCTCTTATTTTAATTTTACTGATCCAAAACACAACCTTAATCTTCATACAAAATCCAAGGCAGCCCTTGAAAATGGTAATTAAGTCCTCAGAACATGATTGAATGCCAATAAATCCAATGCTATTACTTTAGTTAAGTTGATCTGAGAAAACATACAAGCACTAAATTCTTGTTCACATTTTCAACTTAAAATACTCCTGCAAAAGCATAAAAATACAATTGCACCTGAATAAAAGAATTGGATCATAGCTTTGAAATTGCAGGCGAATGGGAATAGGGTTGAAGATGGTGAGAAGAATGGAGGAGTGGTTCAGAGAAAGTGGTGCCGAGTATTCGTACATCGCTACTGAAAACGACAACCAACCTTCCGTCAAGCTCTTCACCGATAAATGCGGCTACTCTAAGTTCCGTACTGCATCAATCCTGGTCCACCCCGTATTCGCCCACCGTGTCCGGCTCAGTAACCGAGTCACCATCCTCAAACTCGCTCCCTCCGACGCTGAGTTCCTCTATCGCCGCCGATTCTCCACCACCGAGTTCTTCCCTAGGGACATTGACTCAGTCCTCAACAACAAGCTCAATCTCGGCACCTTCATCGCTGTTCCACACGGGTCCTACTCCTGGCCTGGTTCGGACCGCTTCCTGGGTAACCCGCCCGAGTCGTGGGCCGTACTCAGTGTGTGGAACTGCAAGGACGTGTTCAGACTGGAGGTCCGTGGCGCGTCGCGCGTCAGGAAAGGCTTGGCGAAGACGACGCGCTTGGTGGATCGGGCCTTGCCCTGGCTACAATTGCCATCGGTCCCAGAAGTCTTTCGGCCCTTTGGGCTTCACTTCTTGTACGGGCTGGGTGGGTCAGGCCCATTAGCGGTCAAGTACCTTAAGGCCCTGTGTGGGTTCGCACATAATTTGGCTAAAGAGTGTGGGTGTGGAGTGGTGGCAACGGAGGTGTCGAGTCACGAGCCGCTCAGGTTAGGGATTCCGCACTGGAAGGCGCTATCATGCGCCGAGGATCTATGGTGCATCAAGAGGCTTCGGGAAGACTACACTGACGCGTCTGTTGGTGACTGGACCAAGTCACCACCTGACGTGTCCATTTTTACTGATCCTAGAGAGTTCTAACGATAACTCAAACTAATTTAGAAGCTAAATTATATATTATTACTATTATTTTTTATTTTTTTTTGGGGAGGGGGGGGGGGGTGGTTTAACATTAGTAGGTTTGGTTTGTAACAATTTTGAAGGTGGGTGAGAAAAGATGAGAAATGATAAGATATGGGTATTTTTTTTCCCTTCTTTTGGGGGGGATGGTGGTGTAAAGGGAATATGCCCACTTATCGTTTTTCGTAAATGGAAGTGGCTTTTTAGATCCTCTTTCAGCCAAACAAAGCCTTAAGTAAGTTTTTATCCCATGTGGGGTTGGTTGCATTTTTGCCTTTCTACACATTCCACATTCTAAAACGGTTGTGATGGGGATTGTAAATCATGTGTATCCGAATATCCTTTTAAAAGATGGACGTGTATGCAATGCTTGTTATCAACTAATTTGTCTTTCTTTTATCTTCTTCACTAGTATGACATAGTGAGAAACCATTGGCCTCAAAGATAGAGCTTTGCCTTTTGGTTCTTAAATTTATGTATGGGGTGCCTCTAAATGGGAATTTTTAAATGCATTTTAAAAATTTTTTCTTTCTCATACCAACATTTATAATATGCATTAAGATATGATATAATATGTGTAAAAGTTATGATTTAATCATATTGTGTTAATTTAAAGTTGGTTACATTATAATTTAGGACATGTTATGTGGTAATTGAAATGATTGGCACTACATAATATGATTTATAATGGGAGGACTTTTTGTGTGAATGAGCATGCTATGTTTCTTTATATGATATGAATTGACTGGAGATTTGGCTTTTAGCTGCTTTGTGCTTCCAGTAGAAGAGATGGACGTTTTGTTTTTTCCCTGGTTTTGGTTGTTTTAGTTTGGACCTTGACGTGGGACAGGAGGTTATATTATGAGATTGGGACATTTTAGGGAAATAGTAATAATAATGTATGATTGATAATTACATGCATCTTTCTTTTAGCACATCGGAACCGTTGATCCAATATTTATATAATTTACTTAAAAAGTGACATTTACATAAATTAGTCACTTAATTTTTTTAATTGACCAATAAAATATATTAGGAGGATTCAAGTTGAATTGTCTTTCTTATCAATTTTATAGAAGTTTGAACTTGGACTGTATCCGTCTAATTATGTTGGTTTTATGAATTAAAAAAAAAAATGATGTCAGGTTTGTTTGTTTGGCTGTTTTTTATTTTTGTCTACACATAATGCATATAAACACATTGGTCATATACCCAATTAATCAATACATAAAGTTAATGTATTCTATCAACCGTCTACACATAATGCATATAAATACATTGGTCATATACACAATCACTCAATACATAAAGTTAATGTATTCTATCAACCGTCTACACATAATGCATATAAACACATTGGTCATATACCCAATTAATCAATACATAAAGTTAATGTATTCCATCATCCGTCATACTCTACGACACACCTGATTGATTAGTTTTAGTTCGCCTAATCATCATGCATTGTCTACAACAATCAACACTACCCTCCACCGGTAGCCCAAAGCAATTATTCCTAAGCAGGAAATAAATGCACAAATGGATAATATATCAACATTCCAATTAGGTGAGCAATAAATAATTTTTCTACACTCTTTAATCCCATACCTTCCCAATTTCAACATTTTCAATTCAATTCCTTGCTTTCTTCAATTAATTATATGCATTAATTAATTAAACCAATTAGGGCAAATTACCATAATTCACAAAACAACCCTAAGGTTCCATTGTCATCAATGTCCCAACACCAATCTCATTTCTCTGTGCCTAACATGCATATAGGTTTATATATTTAAAACCTCAACTTTTGTAAAATTACACAAAGGCCCAAACTTTCTCAAAATTACCCAACAACCCCCAACATATCAAAATGCTAAAATTTAAAGACAAAACTCATAAGATGGAGTAGGTTATCCCTACCTCGAATGATGGGACGCAACGAAGAAGATGAAGAAACGGAAATGCTCCAAATCCCGAAATTTTCAGATTAAAAGATAGCCCTCGACGATCAACACAACTTTTGTAAAGGCCCAAGGTGAGCAAACAACTCATACTAGATCAATCCTAAGAGAGAAGTTAGGGTTTTAGTGAGAGGAGCTCTCAAAATACCTTTTTGGAAAAGTAAGAGAGAGAAAAGATGTTGAAAAGTGAACAAAAAAAGTCAGATCTCGGCTTTATATAAAAGTCTCCCCGCTCGAGCGTCCAAACCCCCGCTCGAGCGTCACTCATAGACTCCCGCTCGAGCATCAACATTCCCGCTCGAGCGGCGGATACACACTCCCAGAACTTTTACAGAACCAGGTCTCCGCTCGAGCGTCAACTCTCCCGCTCGAGCGTCACACACAACATCCCGCTCGAGCGTCAAAACTCCCGCTCGAGCTCACAACACTGCAGAGGAGATACTGGAAGATGGAAAACTATGCTCGAGCGTCGAAAACCCCGCTCAAGCGTGAAGGCCAAAATCTGGGCAACTACTCTTGGTTTCTGAGTTCAACCAACCTGTTTCAAACTCGCCCAACACAACTCAAGACTCGAATACAATGAGAAAGGAATAGTAAGAGGTTAAGACAGCAGCACCCTCACGAAACCGAATCTGGATTACAGTTAAACAATAACAGGGAATACCGGGATCGCTATATATATGCTCTGAAATCACATGTAAAATGATGCTATATCATGCAAATAACTCAAGCAAAGCTTGCTAGGGGCCTTAAAACACAAAGCTAGTAAAGTCTATTTAAACTATAGCTATACAAAGCAAAGCACATATGTCCAAGACCACTCAAAACATAGCTTAATCATGCTAAATTAGTAGTAAAACACATGCTGAGATAGAGTCCCAAAAGGGTAGAAAAACATGCTCACCTCTTAGGCCATCTATACATGCAAACAAGACAAGAGGAGGGGGGACCACCCCCTCCCATTTTGGTCCTCAAAACCAACTTTCTACCACTGAAATTCCTCTAGAATTCAATGGTTTTAAGGCCAAAAAAAGATGGACTCAAAAGCCTTAAAAACATGGCTCAAAAGGCTTTACAAGCCAAAGAGCAAAGGGGGGGAACCACCCCCTAGCTAAACAAGACTCAAACCAACACTTTTAGGACTGAAAAATAGAGGTTTTTTTAGTTCAATTCCACCCCAAAAACAGCCCCAAAGTAGCTGAAAACTATGGCAAAGCAAGTATGCGAAACAAGCTAAAAGGGAGAGAGTTATACCTTTTGAAGCTCAGCACAAATCAACCACTTTCTTAGGCTCAAACAACCTTCCAATAGCCCAAAAATAGGTTCCAAGAGACCTCGGCCCAAAGATATGCAACTTTGATGAAGGATGTCTAGGCAAACTAGAAGTGTTTCTCTACTTCTATGCACAAAAGGGCAAGAGAGAGAACTCTAGAGAGAGGAATGGAGAAAGAGAGCGGTTTTAGAGAGAGAGACTCCCAAACTTTCCAACCTTCCAATATATGAGATATGGCCTTCATATATAGCAAAAATGAGAGCCTTGGTCGAAATATCTGAAAATGGACAGCTAGAGCAATGTGAAAACAGCTGGAGGAGAAATATCTGCAAAAAAATTTGAGTTTTGGAGATTAGCGGCCGACCGGCCACTTGTGGTAGCCGACTGACCACTTAAAAGCCGACCGGCCACTTAAAGTGGCCGACAGCAAAAATCTGCTTTCCAGGTCCAACTTCAAATGGGCATATCTCCTTCATCTGGACTCCTTTTCAGGTCATTATTGTCTCTAAATTGAACCCCCAGAAGTAATCTTTCCAAATGGTGGAAGCATCACATCAAAATTACAAGTGTGCAAAAAGTTATGCTCATTTTAGTGAAGACTGCTCGGTTTCGATCCTAACCGAATTGATGCCCAACTTCAACCAACCGTATCTCCCCCATCCAGACTTGGCTTTAAGAGATTCTTGAGTGTAAAATGAAGCCCCAGAAGTCTTCTTTTCAACACTGGTGGCCTCATAGTTGAAATCCATGTATACAAAAGGATAGGCCTAATTTAGCGAGGGCCGCTCGACTCTCTCTTAATGGTTCATGCCCATATTCTTCTCCAACTTGGTTTCTTCTCTCTCCTTCAATTTTCTTCAACTCCAAACCCCTAAAAAAAAAGATGTTTTAAAGATTTTTCAAAGAGTTCGCCTCTCTTTCATTTATTTCCACTTTGTCCTTGCTCGGTTTATTGAAAAGCGCAACATTTAACAAAATGCGAGCCTCGAAACATCGTAAAAACTTCTTTTCAAAAATATATTGAAAGGGAGGGTTTTAAGGTCTAAAATCTTTGATAAAAATAGTTTTAGTCCAAAAATGGGGTGTAAGGTTGGGATTTGACTCTCTCATTGCCGAAGAAATCGGACCTTTGCACTGTATACCTTTCACCAACAAGTAAATGATCAGTGGCGCCCAAGTCTTTAGGGCAGTCAAAAATAGGGTGTCTACAGCACTGTGTTGAATTGGGAGCTGAAATGCCAAAGAATGTGCATTGGGCGTTTTGTGTATTTTGCTTCTAGTTGAATTAAGCCTTACTATGAACATCTAACTACTTTAATAATTTTGTGAATTCATTTATGATGTTTAGAATTACATAGATAGATACTTTGACATACATGTGTATTTAGAGTGAAGTTATCCATATGTGGGTTTTGGTTGGCAAAGAGTTTTTTGACATTATTTTGTTGGTTCTGTCTTTAGGATCTTTTTTGTGCATTTGGATTTGTTACAATTTTTTAATTTTTTTGTGTGTGCTACCGTTGGGATAACAAGGGTAGCTCTGTATTAGTGTTGAATGGTAGAGATCAGCAAACAATTCTTTGTTTATGCCCTAATGCAATTTAATATGGGTCTTATAATACTTTCTTCAAACAGGTTCTTTCACATTTTATTTCTTCAAATAGGTTCTTTTGCATTTTATTTCTTCAAATAGGCACTTATAACATTGTATGAGAGAGAGTGAGAGAGAGAGAAATGGTTGTAATTTTTTTTTTCAACTTCCACGTTCTTCTACAATTTTTTTTTCAATTACTAAA